CTCTTTGGATATATGGGGGTCAGGGAGCTGCTTGAGGAGACAGTCTGCCCTTTATAGGAGCTCAGGTGCTGAGCTGTGAGCTCCGTTGTTCATTCAAAGCTACTGGGCAGGTACGTTTAGATCTGCTGCAGCAGAACTCATAAACTGCTTTTTGTTCCCAGGTGCTCTGTCCCAGGGAGTTAGAGCTTTATTTATGAGTTTCTGTTGTGCTGCTGCCTTTGTTTTTTTCAGGGCTGCCCTGCCCAGCGAGGAGGCAGCCTGGTCACTGTCTGCCTGCAGAGGCTTTCCTGAGCTGCTGTCGGCTCCACCCAGCTGCCATGTAAACTTCCCTGCAGTCTCATTTATATGGGTGTAGTTAGAACTGCCTTGGCAATGGTTGCCCGCCTCTGTATTGGCTGCCTCTCTCTGTAATGGCAGGTTGCCTTGGCAACGGCGGGTTGCCTTGGCAATGGCAGGCAGCCTCAGCAATGGCGGGTTGCCTTGGCAACAGCAGGCTGCCTCTAGTGGTGGATTGCGTCCATAATGACGGTCGCCACTCCCCCACAGAGCTGGACCGTCGCAGGTTCAGCTGCGCTTGCTGTGAAACTCTCAATCCAGAGAGTTTCTGATTGCTATTCTTTTGTGGGGGTGGGACCAGCCGTGCCTGATCACCTGGCTCCCTGCCTCAGAGCCTTTTTTTTTTCTTTTTTAGTTGAACAGTCGACTCTATCCCAGTCGCCTGTTGAAAGGGCACCGGGATCTGTGTGACTTCCCATGCGGCAACTCGCTGCACCGGCTTAAACAGCGGTGCTGAGATTCATGGTGCTTTTTTTGCCTAGGAATCTCCTGGCCTGGCTCCCTGTTCAGTCCCCTCTTTAATCAGATGAATGGGCGACTTCCCAGGTCTCCAATCATCAGCCAAAATGGCACCTGGACCAGTGTATTTTGTACGGAGAACCACCGGCAGGGCACTGACAAAGCAGCCGTGCTGACCAAAAGAACTGTGCCAGCCAAAACAGCTGCGCTGGCGACTCGTGGGGCTCCTCCGCCTGGGAATCTCCTGGTTCATGGGCAATAAAAATGCGGCATCCACTCACCCTCTGCACTTTCATTGGGAGCTGCAACTCTGAGCTGTTCCTAAACGGCCATCTTGGATCTTCCTTGCTAATTTAAGACTCTTAAGAAGCTGAAAGAAGAAGGGAAAATAAATATACATTATAACTTTTGTTATATTAACATTTTTTATAATTTCTGGTTTTCTTCATTTGTTCCTGTGGATTTGAGTTATCAACTAGAGTCGTTTCTTTAGCCCCATACAGTTTGCTGTTACACACCTCATTTCTGCTGTTACTGGGAAATATATTACATTTCTATATGTTGTATGCCCAATAATACACTATATACATATTTTATACAGTTGTATTTTAAATCTTTTAACAAAGGAAAGAAGCAGTAATTTTCATTTATACTGTCTTTTCTAATTACGTAATTATTTTTACTTATGCTGCTTTGTCATGTGGATTCAAATTACCATACATTTAGGTTATAAGTCAGTATTTTGTACCTAAGCCTTTGCTACTCTCTCCTATTCCAAGTTTCAACTGAAACTCCATCTTTTATTTCACAGCAGCTTTCTTTTGATCTATGACTTTCAATTTTATTTTACCTGTTTCATATTACCTTGTAATTTCACTCTTAGCTTTGAAATCGAAATGAAAAAAAAAATAGTGAATTTAAACAGCACTTTATTTGTAATTCATCTTTTGTTTCTTAATCTTGAAAAGAATTTTTTTTTTTTTTTATGAAAAAGTAACACAAGGTATTTTAGTTCACTTCCTCTGTCTTGAATATAATGTTCTGGAGTTTAAATTTTCCTTCAGATTAACATTAGTCAAACTAAATTCCTAGTGTCATTTTAATAATACTAATATTTAAACATCAGCCTACATTTAGATATCACATTAGTAATTTACAGCTCACATTTCATTGAAGACCAGTAAACTTGACCATAGGTAAAGGAGGAAAAGAACAGGCTTAGAAAAGAGGATGTAAACAATACCAGCTGTCAATGAGGAGAGGGGTGGTCAGACAAGGGGGAAGTGAGTGGTTAGAAACATCACCTGATTGTCCTTAGATTGACACTTTGAAATACTATTTGGTAGTCATTTTGGCTAATAGTCATTTTCACCTGTATAAGTCATTTGGGCTAATTTTAAGAGCAGCCACTTCTAGACTTCAGCTGAAACAAACATAAATACTGATTTTGCTAATAGTCATTTGGGCTAATTTTAAGAGAATCCACTTCAGCTGAAACAAACATAAATACTGCATTTGATAGTTTCAACCCAGTTCAATTTTCATTTAAATCCAAAAGACTCCACTGGAATTGTTCCAGTAAACACTTTAACTCCTACTTTAAGCTCTCTCTCTCTCTTTGTTTGGCACCCAATAGCAGTGTTCCCCAGTACTAATATGGCAAAAATTTACGAAATTTACTTTATATTTTAGCTTGAACCTAAGCAAATCTAGTATCAAAATAGATGCTGACATGATTTAGTGCATTGATTTCAGCACAGAATTTATTCACTCACCTTCCAGATTAGAGAATAGCTTTGAATTGAACACAGCCTCGTTTTCATTTTGCTTTTAACTTTTAAAGAAAAGATTATTGTAAGAGACTCAGGTGAAGTAATAGTAATGGAGAAGTAGATACTAAGAGGCTATGTGTCCAAGAAATCAGCCTAAATTTTGGAAAAACCTTTGATGAGCCAAACTGTAATGCTTCTCATCTTTCTTCTGGCCAGGATATCCATTACCAAAGCTTGATGTGAACTTCTCACTGGAGAATAGAGAAGAGCCATGGGTGAAGGAATTACAGGATTCTAAAGAAATGAAACAATTACTTGATTCCAAGATAGGTAAGTAATTGTTCTTTGATATACTACGGGAAGAAAAAAAACAAAAATTCAACCTAAATAAAAATAAAGAGTTTGGAATTCTATTTAGGAATTTATATGTTCCTACTACTGGTTTAATATAACTCTTCATTTTCCTTCACTTTCTTTTCTCCATGGAACACAATATCAAATGCAGTTTCTATTTCTTCTCTCAGGTTTTGAGATGGGGATAGAAAATGAAGAAGATGCTTCAAAACAGAAAAAAATGGACACTATGTATCCATTTATTGTAACTTTAGAGGGGAATGCACTTCAGGGTCCCATTTTGCAAAAAGACTATGTACAGTTAGAAAATCAATGGGAAAGCCCCCCAGAGGATTTACAGACAGATTTAGCAAAACTGGTAGATGAGCAGAACCCCACTCTGGGACAGACACCTGAGAACTCCAACTTGGAAGAACCTCTCAATCCTAAACCCCATAAGAAAAAGAGCCCAGGAGAGAAACCTCACCGATGTCCTCAGTGTGGAAAATGTTTTGCTCGGAAGTCACAACTTACTGGACATCAGAGAATTCATTCAGGAGAAGAACCTCACAAATGCCCTGAATGTGGCAAAAGATTCCTTCGTAGTTCAGACCTCTATAGACACCAACGACTTCATACAGGGGAGAGACCCTATGAATGCACTGTATGTAAAAAGCGATTCACTCGGCGCTCACATCTTATAGGGCACCAGAGAACCCATTCTGAAGAAGAAACATATAAATGTCTTGAGTGTGGGAAAAGTTTTTGTCATGGATCAAGTCTTAAAAGACATCTGAAAACTCATACAGGTGAAAAACCTCATAGATGTCATAATTGTGGGAAAAGTTTTAGTCGACTGACAGCTCTTACTTTGCACCAGAGAACGCATACTGAAGAGAGACCTTTTAAATGTAATTATTGTGGGAAAAGTTTTAGACAGAGACCAAGCCTCGTTATTCATTTAAGAATCCACACAGGGGAGAAGCCATACAAGTGTACTCATTGTTCTAAAAGCTTCAGACAGAGAGCAGGCCTTATTATGCACCAGGTCACTCACTTTAGAGGACTTCTTTAAGAATTGCTAAGGGAAACAGGTCCTACACAAATTGACACTAACTCAAAAAAATCTTAAACCGCAGCAGACTGTTTGTCTTGGAAGCTTTTATTTGAGCCTTTGAGCTTATAAGAACATAGAACAGCATTTTGTTTTTGTTTTTGTTTTTGTTTTTTTGCTTTTTTTAAAACCCATTTTCCAAGATATATGAATTCTAGAGTATTTATCTAACTCTTGTGATTTTTCTTAGATTTGATTTCTTCTGTCTGCACAACTCTTCTTTTTTTATTATAATGAAAAATTTTGTGTTCCAAGACAACTGTATTATAGGTGTAAACATAAAGCATATAAATTATGACAATCCTTTTAGAGGTAGAGTCAACATAGTGGATAAACATGTCTATCAGACATATTGATTATAGCAGTACTATAGTTATTCTGCTGTCAGTATTAAAGATGATTATATTCATTCAAAGCTTTAGATGTGTCTCATGTGACAAGAAAGGAGACAATGAATTTTGTCAAACAATAAAAATGTGTCAGGAACACAAGGATGAAGGCGATGTCATTTGCCTGGTAAGAACTGGGTTACTTCCACTGAAATTTTTTATGTTTAAGGAAATTAAGATTTTAACCTTTACTTGTGAATTTTGCAGTTTGCTAGTATGCTCAGTCAGCAGTTTGTGCAGAGTACTAATTTGGTAATTTATTTTATTCACAGAATAAGCTGTATGTCTGGAACAATCCATTTGGCAATTGAAATTGTACAAGCAGAATCTAATTTAATTTAGATTGACTGAAGAACCAGTGTTTTTTGCTCTCCTTTGGTATTTCACTCTCCTTTGGTATTCAATCATGTGTCTTTCAGTACTTTTTAAAATTTTACCTGTTCTTTAATTCAGCGTCTCACTACGTATGCGTCATAGAATACTTAGTTCTGTTAGATATTCTGCAAATATGTGTGGGAATTGCTTCCTGCTGTTTCGCCTTCTTAGATTGATAGTGCACATCAGCATATGAGAATCTCTGAGAGATCCTCTAGAAAAGAGAAAAAACACCTCTTTTGGCTGAATGTTTTATTCGACCCCGAAACTTTTTCATATACCCAATAATAACCTACAGAACTAATATTCTGCGAATATCTCTTGGAACACACTGCCTTAAACAGATATTTCTATAGCTATCAGTATAGTTATGTTGCTCCCAAGCCTAGTTATCTCCAGTTGTTTTAAGGGTGTTATGAAAAGTTCTTTAAATATATATGACAAGCAGAAGGGGACCAACCACTCTGTATTGCCCAGACAGATCCCATTTAGGCTGGTAACACACACAGAGACACACACACACATACACACACATGCTACCTTAAGGGGGTGAGGGTCACTAATTTGGATAATTTTTAAGTTGCCTAGTGATTCTCAGCATTCTTGAATTTTACTTATATTTACACACACACACACACACACACACACATATCACTTTAAGAAGGCGAGGATCACTAATTCAGATAATTTATAAGTTGCCCAGTGATTCTCAACCTCTTTGAATTTTACTTACAATTACACACACACACACACACACACACACACACACACACACACACACACTGCTACTTCTGTAAATGTTCTCATGTAATCATGGTGACAGCTCAAATTCCTGAAGCAAGGGAAGACTTCTAATTGTCAGTTAAAGCTGTTAAAACATGAAAATATTCATTGAGCCTAGTTCCTTGTTATAAAATACAGGAAATAGAACATTCAAGCATTTTCCCTTTATGAAGATATTCAGTTGCCCTTTCCTTAAACTGCAGTTAGGGAAAGTATATCTATTCTGTTCCATTGAAGTTCTTGAAAGTGATATAAGTACTTTGGGGGGTATCTACTATATGCCTAACTAGTGCTGTTCTAGGCTTAGTGGAAGCTAGTAAAGAAATATAATTAATGGGTCATGCTCATAAAGATTTTATAATATTTTTAGTTAAACAAAAGTTGGGAAACAGGTAGTGAACAATGCAAGAGAGTTTGTAATTAAGTGCCAATTATACCAATTGCTAGACCCAGGATGTATCTTTAGTTCTTGTCATCCAGGTCCCTGTATGATGCTGCTATAAGTCTGGGGCTCAAATAGATATCCCAGTAGCAATAAACATGTAATATGGAGGAGTCTGAATGTAGAGATGAAAAATACAGAATGTAATGGCTTCTCTTTTCTCTCTTGTGGAATTGCATTCAAACCAGAACAGTGCCTTAGAATGGATGTGCCCAACTGCTCTGTATTTATGCAATATTTTAATAAAGCGGAAATGTATATGCTCTTCCTGCTTCACTTGCACTAATTAATTATTCGAACAACTTAGAGCTTCTTTCCCTGAACAGTGGCAACAAGCATGGCAGTTGACTCCTGTCCTCATCCCAAGTTGGAATCACTTTTCTCTCTGCAATCATGGCACTGTGATTATGCATCATTTTTAGCATTTAATACAGTCTATTTTGGGCAAGTAGGGTTAGTTGCAATCGTAATATGAATTGCATCCTCCCTCTTATTTATAGCAAATATACTTGACTAGATTTTTACGAGGTAGAGAATGTCTAATATTCATCTCTTTGTTACAGTGCCCTATATAAAATAATTTAAAAATATTTGTGGCATTGAATCAAGAAACACATGAAACAGTTTTTGGAAACAGATAACGTATTTAGAACATTGCGTGGATAATTATACTTCTATGTCTAATTGTACTTTGAGCATTTCAAAAAGATAAGGGCAAAATACAGTACCTACCTCCTAGCTATTATAAAAGGGAAAATGTAGTACCTACCTCAAATGTACTATGAAGATTAAATGAAATATATTTTGGTCTGCCCCTACACACTGTAAGCTTTCAATAAATATCCCCCATATTATATTTTCATTCTTTGTAGTTTAATGATAAAAGCATTTAAAGCTATAGATTTTCTTCTCTGTATGGCTTTGGACGTATATCATAGCTTTTATATGCAGTGTTCTTATTTATATTTCAAAATTATTTGTTGTTTTCATTATAATTCCCCTTTGACTTAAGAGATGTACAGTGTTGCCATTTTCCTCTTAATTTTGGTTTTGCTACATTGTGATTAGAGAACAAGTTTCATTCTATTTCTGCCTTTAAAGCTCCTTTAAGTTTTTTTTTAAGACCTACATTTGGTCAAACTTGTTAAGTATCCTAAAACCTTAGAAAATAAGGGCTCTATTTATAGGGTGCAAATTTAGATTACAGTCTTGGACCCCTCAATTACCTTAACGCCTTTAGGCATATTCTTGCTGTTTGTGAAGGGTCAGAGCCATCGAGATTGAATTGCTTCCCATTCTGCCTCCCTGTTCCTTTGTATTCCCCCTTCCCTTGGTAATAGTTTTTTCCACCATCTTTGGTCTGTTCTGTGGATGTTATATAGCAATTGTTAGTAGCTGCCTCGGCATTGAGACAGGCAGTAAAAACAACAGGCTAAAGGACCTAGGGGAGACCTAGACTCTCAAACCAGGCTGAAGAATGCTCTCCTTCAGGATCCCATAGTTTTTGTCATTCTGAAAGCATAGAGAACCTGTACAGGGCACTTTGAGGTTTTTCCAACTGTGACCCTCCTGAATTCACAGGGATTGTTTCATAATGTACGGAGGATGTTGTCTAGGCTAAAATCCAGGGAAACAGGGAATACACAGGGGACTCAGTCCCCAAGGCTCACCATGAGGTAGGGGAAGAGAGTCATTACACTTTGTCCTCTTGCACCTATACTCTCCATAGAATCCCCAAGAGAAACAGTCTTGGGCACCTCCAGAAAACTGTGTTATCTTTATTGCTATAACTCTCTCTCATTTTTAGCATACTGATATGGGCTAAATATTCTCATAAATAAGCAAAGCTTACCCTTAAGTCTGGGCCCAGCACCCTGCTTCTTTGTCCACTGTAACAGATGTGAAATGGGTTGGTAAGAAAGCTCATCTTTTAACCTCTCCTTAGCAGTGATAATCAATTTACTCAGTTCCCAATCCCTGAGACTTTAACCACTGGGATTGGAAGTGGTGGTAAATCTCTTTCTCCTGGAGTTATATATAGGTTAGCTTCTATCCAGCTTTTTGTGCATTGCCAGAAAGGACTTCTCAGAGTTCTAGCAAAACATAAGTTTATATTTCCTAAGGATTCTAAGATAGTAGAAATTATTAAAATATTGATATATTTTAAATATTTACTTTTAATGGACATATTTATCACCTAATACAAGAATATGAATGTATTAATTACTGAAGATGACTTCAAAACTATAAAATTTAAGGCCTTTCCTGAAAATCAGACCTTACCTGTTGGCCCTAGGAGAAATCCGTGCACCTGTACTTTGAAGTGTATTCTGTAGTAATTCTTCAGCCATCTCTTCTCAACTAGGTTACTTTCCTATGAAAGTGGGAAAGTAGAGGATGAGCAGTGACGAACTGGAGGCCCTTCATCTTAGCCTGGAGTGGAAGGAAACACTTGTACTGCCTTTTCTCCTGAGAAGGACAGTTCATCTTGGGAAGACTGGAGTCCCTTTTCCTAAGATGTTACTTAAATGCTGCTGTAACAGACACACACTCCACACACACACCAAGGAAAGACAAAAAGAAGTATACATTTTTTTTGACAAAGTCTTGCTCTGTCACCCAGGATGAAGTGCAGCAGCATGATCTCAGCTTACTGCAATCCCCCCTCCTGGGTTCAAGCAATTCTCCCTGCCTCAGCCTCCCAAGTAACTGGGATTACAGGTGCCCGTCACCATGCCCAGCTAATTTTTCTATTTTTGGTAGGATGGTGTTTTGCCATGTTGGCCAGGCTGATCTCGAACTCTTGGGCTCAAGTAATCTGCCTGCCACAGCTTCCCAAAGTCCTGGGATCACAGGAATGAGCCACCATGCCCGGCCAGCAGTGTACAATTCTTAACTCCAATAGTATAATTAACACTGAGAAGTTCTATGTTTACCAAACAAATTACCTTGACAAAGTCTCCAAGTCTTGATTTCTTTGCCTGTTGTGGCAATTTTAAAGCATGCCCTCAAATTATTTTTCCATCTTCCCATCAAAAAT